CCCCCCTGCTAGAGCTCACTCGATCTCTCCCGCTGAAAGCAAGTTCGGGCCTTTCTTTGCCCCGTTATACCCAAGCAAAGATAATAGAGTTTACATAGGAAAAAAGGGAGATTCTGGTAAGATACCGCTGTATTGATGGTCCTGCTGCAGCGGGCGCCGCTATAATCATGTTCTAGTGTACTTTTCCCCCGGCTTACTCCGCACCAACACCATCGGTTCTATACGCCAAAGCAAGGACTACTTTCCCCCCAACATACTGCACAGTTTTAGCAGTTTCAATCCACACATATTTCACTGAACTTAAAATACCTTTTCCAACTGTGACCAAAACGTCAAAAACCCTTCATCTTTTGCCCTTTTCACCAATGCACTCTGAACATTATCAAACTTCTTCCTGCTCTGTTCCAATTCCTCTTTCAATTTGTTTAGTTGCTCTTTAACTTTTTCCTCTTTGTCTTTCTCGTGGCGTGTCGTTTCAAACACTTCTGCAAAGTACAAAAAGGACTCTACGATTTCCTTGAGAGGTTGAAGAACCTTGGTTCCCTGATCCTTTTTACAGATTTCCTCTATCAGCTTTTGTGCGTGCTTCTTCAGATCTGCCACCTTTTGTGGGGCATCCACCTGGTCGATTTTGATTTCTACTAAGGATTGTGTCAGAAGGCTGCATTGCTTCTTAATTTCTTCTTCCATCTGGGGTAGATTTGCTTTCAAAATCAACTTTTTGCGCTCGCCGTCCATTTGGTGAAACATAGCGTTGGTGTAGCGCTCGCCGTTGTTTTGGAGCTTGCTCACAGCATGCACGAACTTTTGCACCTGTTCGCCCTGTATTTTCGGATCTTTCGAGAGGTTGTGGAACAAAACAACCCTCCCGCCACATTCTTTGATGAACTCGGCAAAGTCGCTGTCTTGCTCTAGGCACCATTCAAGAACCGTCTTGTCTGGTGTTCCATCGTCCTCTACCGAGTTTTGAAAGTTTTCGCCATAGGTCATCACACACACGCCGTACTTCTTAAACACGTCCTGACCCAGCATGCCTCTGAGGAAGTCTAAACTGTCCTGTTCTTCTTTCGTGAACCGATTGCCGAACTTGTAAACAATTATCATGGCGTGGAAGCCTTCAGTGCACATGGTCATCGCTGTGGCCATGTCTGCGACCGCTTTATCCATAGCACGGTCCACGTCCATTCTAGTTTCTCCAATCCCTGGACCGTCGATGACTTTAAGGATGCAACCGTCACACACTGCCCATTCCGCTTGGACTTTTAAAGTTACCGAGGACATGGAGGAGGAGAATTTAAACGCTTTCCACCCCAAGATTGAGTTGCCGGTTGCGGATTTGCCATGGCCAGTTTTGCCAAGCAGAAGCAAGTCATAACACTGTTCTGTTTTTGAGGCTATCCTTGGAGTTTCCTGATGAACATAGAGAGAAGAGTAGAGAAGGAAAATTAATGAAACATTATCGTATACAAAAAAAAAAGTTCTCCAAATACACACCCACTGCTTACCAGGTCGCTGACATAAGTCTCGAAATCTTGTGCTTACAGCTCGCTGGCGATATAAAGGGGCACATTTACATTAGTTTAATATGGACCGTACAACCAAAAACCGTGAAAACTGGAGGCACACGACGAGGCCTTCTCTCATACAGCGACACTACGATACTCGTGGATGATGGGATCAGTAAGAAGTAACTACACTAGTGGAGCGGCTGGACACAACTTCAGCAGCCTACGGTATGGAGATCAGTGCCGAGAAAACCAAGCTAATGACCAATAACACCAATGGCATCAATGCGGACATCAAAGTCAGGGGCAAGAAACTTGAGACCGACAACAGCTTCAAATACCTCGGACTATCGTCTCAGATGAAGGCTCAAGACCAGAAATTCTCTCCAGAATCGCGCAAACAACAGCTGCGCTGTCAAAACTGAAGCCTATTTCTAGGGACAGAAACATCACGCACAGCTAAAAAATTAGACTAAGGCGCTCACTGGTCATCTCAATATTTTTACACGCCTGCGAGTCGTGGACACTAACAGCAGAATTAGAGAAAAAGATTCAGACCGCAGAGATGAGATGTTACCGCAGACTCCTTGACATCTCGTACAAAGACCACGTTTCAAATGCTGAAGTTCGAAAGAGAATCACCAATGCAGTGGGGCAATATGAAGATCTACTGACCGCAGTGAAGAGACGAAAACTGAAATGGTATGGGCATGTCACAAGATCCACAGGACTTGCCAAAACAATCCTGCAAGGAACCGTACAAGGA